AACTACTTCAGATAGCACTGTTCATGTCCTAAAAATGCTGCACTCTTCTACTGTTATTGGTAACAATACTGGCCTTGATGGACCAGTGGTCTGATTCAGTATAAGGCAGCATCATGTGTTTGCGTAAAGCAGAGATGAGAAAGTCTCTGGGTATGAGCAGGAAGCCTTTCCTGAACCATTAAAGACCAATGAATGAATGAATGAATGGCTATGGTCAAAGACTATCTCAGGTTCAATGCACATTTTGCATAGCAGGCAAACACCATTCCATAGCTATGGCAAACTCCATGAAGTGAGAAGGGGCGATTCAGACTCCTATCAGTCTCAAGAAAATGTTGTAGACATGTGTTAAAGAATTACATAAGAACATAAGAGACACCAATGTTGGATCAGGCCAAAGGCCCATCCAGTCCAACACTCTGTGTCACACAGTGGCCAGAAATACCAGTGCCATCAGGAGGTCCACCAGTGGGGCCAGGACATTAGAAGCCCTCCCACTGTTGACCCCCCCAAGCACCAAGAAGACAGAGCATCACTTGCCCCAGAGCCCCTATCTATACCTTGTGGCTAATAGCCACTGATTGACCTCTGCTCCATATGCTTATCTAATTCCCTTTTGAAGCCGTCCATGCTTGTAGCCACCACCACCTCCTGACATGTTTCCAGTGTATGTTGCAGACATGCCTTCCTTACCCTGTGGTGTTCACCACACCAAACACTATTGTACATGGTGGAAACTCAAAAGTGTGAATCAGTACCACATTGCAGGTGAAAGACAGATAGATTTTTTTTTCTTTGGGATCTCCCATTGCCTTTTGAGCAGCCCCAGCCAAAAATCGCATTGTATATGTGGCAGACTTTTGTTTTACTGTGTTTTTAAACTCTTAAATTTTTCCTTTGGGGGATATATAGCCAATGGGCTATGAATAAAAAATAAACTGGTCTTGACTTGCCTCCTCCTTGACATTGAAATCTTACTGATTTTTCTTCTCTTCTCTTACAGTACTAGACATCCAGAAACCCACAACCTCAGCTGCCCACTTGCCACCCCCACCATCCACTACTTTGTCTGTCATTCCCTCTTGAATGATTCTCAGAGATGAACTTTCTCCGTTGCTCTTTCCCCAGATATTACTTTGCAAATAAAGAAATCTGATTCCACACAACAGACTTCTGTTTCTGTGTCTCTGTGATCTCATTGCTCCAGACAAAAGGAGACCAAGATTTCCACGAGCGATCAGAATAGAGTGAATCTTATCCATGATGTTGTCCTAAAATAAAATGATGTTGTCCTAAACTAAAATGAAATGGGCAAACCTAAGCCCACTTAGTGAGGATAAGAGGAATATGTCCAAGTAAACAGGAGGGCCCATGGCTCAGTGGTGGAGGATCTGCCTGGCATCTCCAGCTAAAAGGATCAGGTGGTAGACCCTGGAGAGCTGCTGCTAGTCTGAGTAGACAGTACTGACTTTGATGGACCAGGAGTCCATCAAAGACAGCTTCATATATGATGCCACTGCCAGCCCTTGTAACACTTCTGTGTACAAACATGCATAGGATCAGACTTTGCAGCTGGAAACAGATGGTAATGTGTTTTTTTTTGGGGGGGTAGTTCCCCATAGAAGCTGTGGTGGCTCAAGTGGTTAAGACGCTGAACTGCAGGCTGTGGAAGGTCGGTAGTTCAGCAGTTCGAGACCCGAGTGTGCCGCATGACGGAGTGAGCTCCCATCTCTAGTTCCAGCTCCTGCCAACCTAGCAGTTCGAAAGCAAGAAATTGCAAGTCGATAAATAGGTACCACTTCGGTGGGAAGGTAACAGTGTTCCGTGCACCTTGGTGTTTAGTCATGCCGGCCACATGACCACGGAAACGTCTTCGGACAGCGCTGGCTCTTCGGCTTTGAAACAGAGATGAGCACCGCAACCCTAGAGTCGGATTCGACTGGCTTTCGAGCAAGGGAACCTTTACCTTTACTAGTTCCCCATAGGCTTTTCAAGGCATGTGCTTAAGCAGAGGTGGTTAGCCATTGCCTTCTTCTGCAGAGTCTTCTTTGGTGGTCTCCCTTCCAACTACTGACCGCTTAGCTACTGAGATCTGACAAGATCGGGCTATACTATACCATTCCACATCCTGGAGGTTTCCATAATACTTCAAAAAAAATAATAATCACACTTCCCCCCCTGTTTAGTTCACTACTGGGAAATCCTGTCAAACCTATCGGACTGTAGATGGCAGTGTGGCAAAAGAAATGAGCATTGTGTAGACAGTAAAGGCTGTCCGACATTACTTTTAACTCTCTTAAAAATCAGTGCTGGGGCTCCAACCTAAGAGGTGACACACGACTTAAAGCATGCAGTCTTTCTTGTAATTTGGGGATATGCGGAGAAGTCACAGGCCCATCCTGCATCTAGCATTCACTCTGTTGTTTTACCAAACCCACACACTGGAACAGAAAAAGATGTGGCTCAAAACCACATTCAAATACCCTGGACCAACACTGTACTTACTGCAGAGTCACCCCTGAATGGCTGTAAATCTATGCAGACAGTACCATAAAACTGAGATATCAAAGGAAGTGAAACCAGCATGCAGTGTGGAGGCTACCATAAAATCCAACAATCAAATAAAGTGGAAGTGGTATGCGACGTACAAGTGAATTTCTGTTCCAACGTGGGTTTGGTCAAACAGCGGAGTGAATGCTAGGTGCAGAATGGGCCACAGGCTTGCTTCTGTCAACCAGCTTCTCAGAGGTTTCCTGGCTGATCTTGGATGTGTCCATTTCCAAGCTCTGCGTAGAGCTGATAACCCTATTCCAGCCCTTTCCCGATCTAGAAATCAGGGCCATAATGCTAGAGGTTTGCCTTGCAAATTTGTTATAAGGAAATCTTATATATATAAGCTAACCTTATCCGGGTACAGCCTTCTCTCTGTGTATTTACACAGGCAAAAAAAGAAGAAGCAGTCCTTGCTAGTCATCTGTCCAAGTGACTTCCACCTGTTGTTTGTACCTCGCTGCTCCCAGGGGGCTTTGCCTATTGATGGCCCTTGTTCCTGAAGGCAGCCAGAAACTAAACCAGACAACCATTGTCCTACATACTTCCATATTAATAGATTCATGTGGGTAGACGTGTTGGTCTGAAGCAACAGAACAAGGTCTGAGTCCAGCAGTAACTTCCTAGGCTTCTAAAAAAGAGCAAATCAGCTGGCACAGCTAGCTTTTTTTCCTGTAGGGAGGCACAGGGAAATGAAGCTGCACCAGTTGCCTTTCCGTAGCTGTTAGCAATACCGAAGCCCAGCTAGGGAGAGGATGAAGCAGACAAACTACTCTAGCTGAATGAGCAAAAATGCAAACAGAACTTCCAAACTTCCAGGAGAACGTTTCATAATTAGACCCTCTCAGATTTGGATCTAGTGAATAAACTGAGGAACCAGCCAACTGGTAACTTGTTCAGTCTTTCTAATGCAAGTATGGGAAACTCATTTGTTAGAAATATGAAACAATAAGGATACTTTTGCAGATGTGTTAGGATTTTATTGCCATGAACCTTTATAGGCTCTAGTAGGTAGAAGCATTGTTGACTGGGAGGGGGACATAATTTTCAAGGAAGCAACAGTTGCTCTTAGTACTCTACTGTAGAAGAAGAAGAAGAGGAGGAGGAGGAGGAGGAGGAAGAGGAGGAGTTGGGTTTTATACCCGCTTTTAATCAAAGGAATCTCAAAGTGGCTTACAATTTCCTTCTCCTCCTCTCCCCACAAGAGGCATCTTGTGAGGTAGGTGGGGCTGAGAGAGCTCTGAGAGCTCTATGACTGGCCCACCATAACCTCTACACCACACTGGTATTTTGTAACAGGTTCTCTGGTCTATATAATTAACATGGATGAAGTTCTATGGCTGATTGGTCAGTTCTTGCTTCAGATGTCAAAGGGCTTCAGGTAAATGCTGAAAGAAGAGAAGAAGGAAAAATCGTGACCAATGGATTTGGACACCAGTTTATACAAGTTGCAGTGAATCTTGGAAAAGCAGTGAATAGCAATGCTGAGCTGTGAATCTTGACCTACCAGATTAATGTTATCAACATCTATAAATTCAAGGATTCAGCAGCAAAAACTGACCATCACCTACATGTATATCAGCTTGTATATACCCTTGAATTAGGGAACTATAGAGTTACTGTTGGACATTCTGAATTGAATTGAGATTGTTGGCATTCCTCTGGGAATGCCAGCACTCATCA